GCGGGGCGTTTCTCACGCGATCTCGGGTGATCTCGGGAGTGTCTCACCACGGGCGAGTCGATCCCGGAGAGGAAAGCGACCGGCGCGAGGGCGCCGAAGAGAGCGACTGCCTCCGCCACCTACCGGGAAGGTTCCGAGGAGCTTCCGGCCAGGTTCCGAGGAGGTTCCGAAGAGAAAACGGATGCAGCCACGCCTCGGCGTTCTCAGCGAGCGAGAAGCCCGCGAAGCCCTGCATCGTCCCTTCCGAGTGGCCGATGAAGCCAATCGACCTCGCGGGCAGCCGAAGCCTTGTAGAGACGCTGCCCTTGCCGCCGCCGCCACCACCATCCCCGCCGCCGCCACCGCCATCATCACCGCCGCCGCCGCTGCCACCACCACCGCTGCCACCATCGCCGCCGCGAGCACCACCGCCGCCGCCTCCTCCTCCGCCGCCTGCGGCCGCTGCCTCCGCAGCGCGGTGCTCGAGGACGTAGCGCAGTGTGGCGGGCAGGTCTGCCGTCGCCTATGGGACATGGCGTGGACATGTCGTGGACGCGTCCCTGCCGGCCGCAGGCAGGTCCGCCCGCCGTCGCCATGTCTTCAAAGGTAAAGTCCCAGAACGCCGCGTCGGCGTCGGGGTCGAGGCGGGTGTGGTTGCGCGAGTAGACGTTCCCTGCGTGCGGGCGCGCGGCTGTGAGATCCAGGACAGTGCGGTGCACACGGATGGCGGTGGGACGTGCGGCGAGGGAGGAGGCGAGGGAAGGCGCAGCGAGGAGGAGGCGAGGGCAGGCGCAGCGAGGGGAGGCGCGGCGGACCGCGATTGTTGCCGAGCCAGACGTCGTAGCCGGCGTCGCTGGCGAGGAGGGCGAGCGACTGGTTCTTGTGGTAGTTGGATACCCACGCAAAGGATGAATCGAGCAGGGCGTGCTGCAGCACCAGCGGCGGGCTCCGGGCGAGCCGAGCGGCGGACTTCTCGCCACGAGGAAGCAGGCGGAAGAGGCCGAGTATGTACCCGTCGGGCGTGGTTGCGTAGTGGCGCTCGAGCCCGTAGCCCTTGTGCACGACCACTTCCATTCCGCAGAACGGATAGCACGATGGCACCCGCTCCTCCAGCTGCTCAGAGGCGTCAGACACCTCAGAAGGCGGCGAAGCCTGCGCGACGAGCACGATGAGCGCGAGGCTGGCGCACACGAGGCCGAGACGGCGCGAGACTGCGAGCTGCCAGGATGGCTGCTGCGGGACGATCATAAGGTCGACTTCAGCGTGTCGTTGTGGCCAACGCAAGGGAAGCTTGAAGGGAAGGTGGTTCGGCGTGACACAACAACGAAGCACGCTGCTTTCTTTTTTCTTTCTCCACTCCGGGCGGAGGCGGGGCGTGCCAGGCGGCGGCGTATCTGCTCGCGGCAGGGGCGGCAGGGGAGATCGCCTTTGCCGCGACATGATCAGCTTGTGGGCACACTCTTGATTGCGTCACCGGCGACGTTTCTTGAAACGTTTCCCCTCGTGCTGCCATGCCGCTGCTGCTGCTGCACGCCGCGGCCCTCGCGACGCACGCCACTTGCCGCCGGGCAGCGTTCAGGGTGGCTGCGCTGCTGCCCGCTTCGCTCCTTCTGCCTGCCTCCGCCGCCGGAGAGGTGGAGCGGCTTCGCAGCGCTGACGGCCTCATCCGCGAGCTCAAGTCGCAGTGGTCAGATCTGACCATTGACTGCCGTTACGGCGAGATGCGGCGCGAACTCCTCTCGGCCGAGAACAAAGAGCGGCTGCTGGCGGAGGCGTCGAGCACGTCCAAGAGCGGCACAACCGTCACCGTGTGCAAAAGCTCGGGCGTTCAGGTTGCTCTCCTTCCCTCCATCTCTCTCTCTCTCTCTCTCTCTCTCTCTCTCTCTCTCTCTCTCTCTCTCTCTCTCTCTCTCTCTCTCTCGCTCTCTCTCTCTCTCTCTCTCTCTCTCTCTCTTCCCTCTCTCTCTCTCCGCAAGCCCGTCCCGCCACCCGCCGCCGTTCATTCCCGCCGTCCATCGCCGCAGGTGCGCAAGGTGCTCGGCACGACGGCAGAGTCGTCGCTCAGCAGGATGGGCGCGCTCCTCGAGAGGTAAGATATAGCAGAGATCTGGCCGAGATCTGGCCGAGATCTGGCCGAGATCGCGTCCCGATGGCCGGCGCTACCACTCGAGCAGACGCGGTGCCCTCCCCCACGCAGGCCCGCGTTGCTGCAGCGCGTGCCTGAGGACAGCCTCGAGGCGTACCAGGCGGCGGGCGAGCAGCTCCCATTCATTGATTCATTGATTCATTGATTCATTGATTCATTCATTACGATACCAGGCGGCGAGCGAGCAGATGCAGCAGGCCCGCGGCCCCCTAGCACAGCCCTCCACTGCAAAGCCCTCGTCTGCACAGCCGTGCCGCCGCCGCCGCCGCCTCGCCGCCGCCGCCACCCTCGCCGCCGCCCCCACCGCCACCTCTTTGGCCGCTGCGCCCTGCCGCTGCAGGCGCTTGCCGCGGCCGACGGCGCCGCGTACCTGGCGGGCAACGACTACTCTGCTCAAACCACATTCAGGAGAGGCGAGAGCACAGACACGCCGAACCTCGACGCCGCCTTCCAGAGCGTGAGCGAGGCGCAGCAGGCCCTCGCCAGGATCCTCGAGATCGTGCAGGCCGGCGGGTGAGCGTTCGGTGGAGCCGCCACATGGCCTCGGCGCCTGTGGCGCATTGGAGTTTGTTGATGTTTGTTCCCGCCCCCATGTGCTCTAGAAACAAAAGGACTGCAGCGCTGACAAAAAGGAGACTCCAAAATCGTCGCTAGTCGGGTCATGAGTTGAGGCGTTTTGTTCGTCAACAAGACCACATACAGTGGGTTGCGGGCATTAAGAAAACAGGATTCGGCGGCACGCCGCCGTTTCTAAGCCTTTCCACAGCCCTCATCCACCCCACGCCGTGGTTTCTTAGCTCCGGCCGGCCTCCTAAGGATTTTAGGTAAGAGGTAAGCTGCGGTCCGCGAGGGCGATGCCAGAGTCTGCCGCCGAGTCGGCTCTCTGGATGACGGGAAGACGCACACACGCCTCCATCTCCACTCCACTCAGAACACCGTAGACTTGGAAAGTGACAAGTGCGCGCGCCGCAGGCGAAGAGAAATTTTGAGCTGGGGCTCCCGTTCACACTCGAGACTCGTGTCTGGCCTTTTCTCGGGGCCGCGCCTGCGGCGCGCCGTGGTTTCTTAGATTTTTGCGGAAATCTCTTGGTAGGGTTTCTTAATGCGACGTTTTCTTAATGCCCGCAACCCACTGTAGACATACGGGGGAAGGACCGCTGAGTTGAGACGGAAATCGGAGGACGCGACCCACTTCGCCACAGACGGTCCCGCGCCTCGCCGCTATGACGGGGACACACCCCGCACCGTCCGCTGTGTCCCCGTCTTTGTCCGGAGTGAAAAGTCCAACGCGCTCGTCGGTGACGGTGTCCTCCAACCTGCGCCACGCTCGGCGAACCTGGACAGCGCCTTCGGTGGCATGCAGCTCTTTGCGCCTGAAGCCTGGAGAGCAGCTCCTCTGCTGCTCACACACTCTGCACAGATGGCACAGCCCACTGTGCGGCTGCCACAGCTGTCACAGCGATGGGCTCGCCCTCACTGGCCCTCAGTCACTTGTGCTGCGGCTTGTGTGAGCGACACTGCGCGGCGACTGCCGGCACACTGTGAGACCATGGGTGTGAGGTAAAACTACGCTACCAGCGCTTGGTCACATCAGCCCTGAGGTCAGATCCTTCTCCTCTGTTGATGGTAACACTTGTCTACTCGCTGGAGCCGAGCAGGAGGGCTTGGCACACAACCCCTCGCCCTGTGCAACTCAGGGTCCTTCCCCTTTAAGAGATTTTTAGCATTTGTTTGTGCCCCTTTAATGAGCACATACACTGAAGCGTGAAAAGGGAGAAAGTGCACAACGCACAGTTCTGGTATCTGGAGTTGACGACGCTCACGAAGCGGCGCGAGCGAGCCGAGATGCCCACTTGACTTTCAGCGTCGTGTGTACGGCGGTGAACGAATCTTCGGAGGATGGGGCAGTCATCACTGCCGCGCTCACTGGGTTCGAGAGATTTGTGCGAGAAATTGTGGGTTGAGCGAGAGCTTGCGTCGGAGTCGTTCCTCCGCTCCCACCTGTCGAGTGCAAACTGCAGTTCCTTGGTGCTTGGAGTCAAGGACAAGGTACCAGACGCCATCAACCTGCCCTGCGCCCTGAGCAAAGTCGAGGGCCTTGCCCCTCTCGGCCCGGCAGCGGCCCTGGCGTCTTGCATTCTTCTTTGCGTTTGACGGCTTCTTCTTGCCGCCTCCATGGGTGCCACCCGCCCGCTCCATTGCCGCTCAAGTGCCCGCGCGGGGCAGCAAGGGGCGCGCCACCAATTTGGCTACAATGGGAGGGGCGGCCAACTTGCTCGTCCGGACTCTCACTCTCTCTCTCTCTCTCTCGGCATGCACATGTACATGTACATGTTGTGTGTGTGTGTGGGGGGGGGTGCGACAAACTAGTGGCTCCGCGACGTTCGGCGGGCTCAAGCAAATACCTGCCACACGCGGCGGGCCACCATGCGCCTCGCGTCTCTCGCCCTCGCCCTCCTCGTCGCGCGCGTCAACGCCTTTTCGAGCACGCCTCAGCCGCCGCCCTGCGAGCCCATCTCGATGACCCTCGTGACTGTCGACTTCACTGCCAACTGGGCCGCCGCCTCTCAGCTCGGCACCTTTGCCGGCACAGCCTGGACGGGAATGAAGTGGCTCCTCAAGACGTCCGAGGGAGTGGCGCACGAGTTTGAGCACCCCGTCGCAACGGGGTCGAACTTCCCCTGCGGCGCACCCTCCATTTTTGCGGTGGACTATCCGCTGCCCGAGCCGGACTGCGAGTGCGGCCTGCAGAACACTTACCACGAAGCGGTGGAGCTCGAGTGCGGCGTCGAGTACACCATCGAGACAACGCCCGTGAGCGACACCACCGCCTCGTTTGCCACAAAGGATAACGGGCTCTGCCCACTATGGTACTTTGTGCCCACCGCCAACCTCGAACAACTGCGAGAGGGCATCGGTGTCACACCGACACTTGCGCACGTGGGTTATGAAGGTATGCACTGTTGAGAGCCTCTCCCGTCCCGCTCTGCAGTCATGCAGTGCGAAAACAGCGACTTCCAGCTCGAGGGAGACGCGGGCGGCCCAAAGACAACGGCCTACTTTGAGGGCGCCGCGATCTCGCAGGCTGCCGTGGAAGGCATCGGCGCGCTGTGCAGCTCCGATTACACGAGCACCTTCACCGTCGAAAATGGCGCGCCATCGCACACGCACATCTCCTGGTCGCACGCCTTCCCCTCTCGCATCCCGATCCGGCCTGACATCCGCACACGCACATCTCCTGGTCGCACGCCTTCCCCTCTCGCATCCCGATCCGGCCTGACAGGTGTCGCGACCATGGTCGTTCCGGGCCACCATCCAGGCGTGAAAAAAAACACTAGGCGAAGCCGCCCGCCCCCGGGGAACTTTAACACTACAGCCGTACATCTTCCTCCCCAGGCGGCACAAGCGCCTTCCCGCGTTGCGACGCGCAGCGCCCCTCCCTCGTGCCGGGTCTCATCGACTTCTACGCCGACAGCACGGCGGCGCCACCCCCTGCCATCCAAGCGATGATCAACAGCTACAACTCCACCTCGCGGCGCGCGCTGTCGCCGGCAACCGACACGTGCTGAGGTGCAAGGTCGGAGGGCCTCTGGCAATGGGGAAAAGATTGTTTCAGAACCCTGGTGAGCACCGACGCGACCGGCCGACCGGCGAGACTCAAGAGACAAGACACAAAAAAGAGAGTCACTTCTCGTGACACCTGTGATGTGTTGACCTGACACGTGAGGAGGAGCCTTGCGCACTTATATACACGGTGCGAAACCGAAAGTTTAATGATAATCACAACGCTCGGCCCGAGAGCGACGCCCAGACATACCTTTCACCCTGTGTAGCGCTTCTGGGCCCGCAGCCGCAGGCGCTCTCTCCGTTTTGTCAAGATTCTGTGCGCGCCGGTTCGATCTTCTGTGCGCATATGTGGTCGCGTATGCGCTATTCCGCCGTTCAGCGTTCAGCTCTGCCGCCCCATCCAACGCGGCCCGCTCTGGAAGAAGTCGGCGAGGCAGGCCTAGAGACTCGCTTAGTGTGGTGTGATCACACGGAGGGCGTGAGCGCCCATCTTGTGCCGTGTACTCAGAGAGCACCGCGTGAGTGCGAGGGCTACGGATCCTGGCTCGTGTGGCGTCTCGAGGTGCCACTCGGGTGGCCGGGACCCCGTACCCCGTACTCCGTCGAGGTGCGGGGAGAGATAGCCAAGAGATATAGCGAGACATAGCCGAGGTGTAGCCGAGGTGCAGCCGAGGCGCACCACCTCCCGCTTCCTCTTCCCGCCCTGCGCCGCCGCGCTGTCGGGCATGGTCTCGGGCGTGGTCTCGTCGCCGGCGTCCTCGCGCGTGTGCGCGCCTGCGGGCGAGTGGAAGCGGTGGCGCGCAAAGGCTGGGGACACATGGGAAGGGGAGGGTGTGCGGTTCATTGAGTTGGCAGGGAGGAGGCGGAGGTGGGGGGAGGAGCGGAGCGGAGAAGAGAGGAGAGGAGAGGAGAGCAGAGAGCAGAGAGCAGAGGAAAGGAGAGGAAAGGAGAGGAGAGATGAGGGGATGAGGAGAGAGGAGGAG